GAGAGTGAGGTGGATTCCTGTGCACTGTGTCAGCAGGGAGTCCTTGAAAGACAGATAAAATGCAGATGGAGAAAGGAAGCAGGGAGGCCATTGCAGAAGGGGAATCAAAGGCTCACCTGAGAGAGACACTGTGGTGTGAGCAGACAGAGTAGACAGGCTCAGCCTGACAAAAGATTTCGTGTAAGAATGAGATGGCAGAGACCAGGGTACATAATTTAATATTTCATGGTGCAAAATAGCACATTCATCATATCTCAATCTGGTAAGTGTTCTCCACTTTTGTGTAAAAATCTCTAACCTAAGTGTGAAAAGCAGAAGTCTCCATTTGGCTCACTAAATGATCCTGAGTTATATAACTCTCCTCATGTGTCTAATCTTCTTTGATTTTTGTATTTCTTTTGACCTTTAGGCTTCTATATAATTCTTAATTCTTAAGCTCAATACCAGGTATATATCCTTCACTGACTAGTCAGATGGATGATCCCTTGGTGGCATCTGTACTTTAACATGGCATTTGCCACATCGTAGAGGATGATGTATTTATTCCTCAGCTGTGATTCTTTCTATTCCATTCCTTCATATTCAATTAGTCTCTAGGTTCTGTAAGTTTGACCTCTGAAAAGCATCTGGGATGTTGAGTCTCTCATCTTCCAAACTGGCTTACTCAAACTTTAAGTATTTCTTGCTTGAATTATTACTTCTGTGTGCAACACCCATAGGTGTGTCTGTTTGCCTGTTCCCTTTCACAGAAAATCTTTGCCCAGAACCTTTGCAAAGTGAATGTGGGCCATATGATGATTTTAGCTGTAACTGATAGGATGAACAGCAAACTAAGGACACCAGCCCAACTAATCCAGTCTTTGGCAACTGACTCAAGGATTGACCACAGGGAACATGAAAATGGAAACTTCCTATTTAGTGAGTACAGGGACCCTCGGAGGGGTCCATGTTTTCCCAATGATGCCACGTTTGAAAACATGCAAGAAAATGAACCTGGTTAAAAAAAAAAAAAAAGAAAGAAAGAATCAAAGAAAAGGAGATTATGCAGCCTCTGAGAAATAGAAGGGGATTCTTGGATCCTAGTGGTCTGTGAGCCCCAATTCCCATGAGGCTAGGTGTGGTGGTACTGTGTTCCGACTGTTTTTCATATCACATTTGGTATTATGAATGCAACTTTTCTTGGGCCAGCTGGATTCTGTTGCTTTAACTAAACAATCTAAAAAACAGCTTCTAAATGGTCTTCTTTCTACCTCACTTTTCTTCAAACCAGTGTTTCCTAACCTTGGCTACATTGGAACCACCTTAAAAAACTAAACTCTTTCTGATTCTATCTCAAGATATTCTGATCAAATTGGTATAGAGATGTAGTTGCATTTGATTGGTTAAAAACATACATAGGTGCACTTGCCTATAATCCCAGCAGCTGGGGAGGCTGAGGCAGGAGGTTCACAAGTTCAAAGTCAGCCTCCTCAAAAGTGAGGCACTAAGAAACTCAGGGAGATCCTGTCTCTAAATAAAATACAAAATAGGGTTGATGATGTGGCCAAGTGCCCCTGAGTTCAATCCCTGATACTCCCCCCGCCACCCTACCCACAAACGGTCCATAGGTGACTGTAATATTCATCCATGGTCAAAAACCACCACCAAACCAGCATTTCCAGAAATTTTCTGATGATAAATTGCTTAGGACACTTGCTAAAAATAGATATTCCCCAAGAAAATAGATATCCCTGGATTTCTATAATTTGGGGTATACTCCATGTATTTACTGTCACTTGAGTTCACTCTTATTAGGAAAGTCAAAGAAACAGTACCCTAATCTACCCTTCACATTGCTGCCAAAATAATCTTTGTGAAACATAATTTACTATCCAAAAAACTTTCATAACTTGCTATTGCATTTTACATAAAGTGCCTATAACTTCGGCAAAGCAGTCAAAATCCTTCACAGTCTGTTCCAATCTACCTTTCAAACCATCAAGCACTCTGTAGCCCAGCCAGACCATACTGCACAAGATCCTGCTCTTGGTGTCTCTTTGCCTGTAATTGCTGACTTTTTCTTTTCTATAAAACATCATAAAGCCTCAATTAGAGTGTCACCTGTTATCTTTAACTGTCCTACCTCCCATTAAGGAGAATTTCTCTCCCTTTTCTGACTTTCCACAGCACTTGGTTACAATGCGCTGCTGTATCTATTTTATGCTAATGATACACAGTTGTGGAGTTTCTGAAAGCATCCAAACTGTTTTGTCTTGTGCCCCTGGGTGCTTAATATAGTGCCTAAAACAAAGGAAGTACTCAATGAATATTATTTGAATAAATGAGTACAGGAGTAAAGATTTATTTTAGTCGGTGTCAGCACTGTAGAAGTAGAGACATTTTAGAAAGTTGGCTGGAGTTAGTTGCTATAACATTTTTTGCTAATTTATTTTTATTTTTATTTTTTTAAAAACTGTCCTGTCACTAGTAAGCTTTAATAGGGCTCTTTAAATCAAGAACCTTTGATTTTAATAATAAAACATATTCAGTCTAGATCCAATCATTCCTCTTTGTTAGAATTGCAAGAGCCTTGAAAGTTGCTATAAATTAGTATTTGGGTGAAAGCCCACATATTATCTAATATGATGTAGTGTGTCTTCCTCTCTATCACTGCAACATTGTGCACATTCAAGGAAAGTTAGTTACTCTATAACCAAAAGAAGAAAAGTCAAGGGGTGAAGTAGATGAAAAACAAAACCTGATTGAGTAAATGCAAAACTAAGACATTCAGCACTAGAGAGGAAAAATAAAAGGGGAAAGAGCAGCTAATTAGGTTATAAGAGACTAGAAAGTGAAATTCTTTGTTTTCACACTACAGAATTTTAGATCTTCCTAAATTTGTCTAAGCTGACTTACTTTTCTGAAGCAAGGTTTTTTTTTTTTTTTTCTTTACTGTCCAATGTTTGGATGCCAATTTTTATAGCACAAACTGAAGCTAAATTTGCAGCCAGTTAGCATATACTTTATTTTAAAAGCTTAAATAGGATCTTTCCATACAAGGTAAAGTTTTTAAAACATAAAACAAGAGCAGTGAATAGTTGTTTCTCATTTCTTATCTAGGCTGAATGGAGTTTATGGAGAGGTTTGTGTGCTTTTTAACTGGAGTGACCAGACCCAACAGCAAATGTGACACTCAACTGACAGGGTTCTCCAGAAGGCAAGAGGCTATTTATGTAAGAGTTAAAAAAATAAATAAAAATCTGTAAAGGAAGAAAGGGGTGATTCTTTTCCTGCCCATCATAAAGGGCCATAGTTGTTATCCCTCTTCCAAAAGAATATTAAAAATGTATTTAATCCAAGTCTTATATGATGTGTGAGCCTTTAGATTGAAGAACCAAAGACCAGGGGGTGACCTATACGTGTCTATGATTAGATATGATGACCCATGGGCAGCCATGTAGAGATATGATTGGACAAAAGGGAGTGATCTTTACGACTAGCTCCCACACAGAAAGGCAGGGGAAGATTAGATTGATATATTTGGGCTTTATGGTTTGTTATGGACTAAAGGGGTTCTAGTTTGTATGACTCGCTATGGGGAAGAGAAATTCCAATTTCTGGGTCTTGGTTTTGCGGGTGGTATGGGTGGAAAAAAGGCATCAGGAGACCTGGAGAGGTCAGAGAGATATATTTTTTTTTTATTCTGGAGTTTTCACTTTGCAATATTGTATTCCGAGCCTTAACAATGTTATCTTCAGTAGCAGGGATCATGTGGGTCTATATGAGCTCTTCCCCAAGTTCCTGTTCAGTTAAGACAGCAATAGGATCATGATCTTGAAATTAAGATCCACAGTTAGAGCACCAAAGGCCACATATGAGCCTTCTGATGCCCGTTCCCAACATATTTGCTGATCCTCATTTGAATTACTTATCATTTTACTTTACAAATATTGTTTTTATCTGAGTGTTCAAAATAGTTCATGGATATTAACTATTTTTTCTTTGCAGTTCTCCTAGGAGATTATATATCTTCCCTATATTAGTGGCAAGCTCTCCATTGGGTATCAAACACTTTGCAGTAGGGAATCTCATAGTGACAATTTTATTCGTTAGGGCAGAGGCCCAGGACCTGGCCTATAAACTTGTCTTCAACAAAGTATTAGGTTAGCCCAGTTGTTTCCAGTTGCTTTTGTGTGGGAGTGGCTATAGCCATGTTGGCATCCTTCTCTCACCTGGGAGGAGAGAAGGGGGAATATTTGCTACATTTATTACATTTAGTTTCTGTTGGAAGACAGAGACATTGAAGCAGAGAAGGGAAAAGTTATTTGCCTAAGAGCAAAAAGTTCCTCATTATTGAATCTAGTTCTGCAATAGGTAATTATTGATTCTATTGAGGCTATGCACTCTGGTGTTTTGCCACTTCTTTTTCTCTTTTATTGCTATTGTTGTTATATTTTATAATGATCCTTAACTGTAGGATCAGTGAACTGGATGTCAGAGAAAAGATCAATTTTTAAAAAGTGTGTCAATAGTAAAATAACTGATTCTTTGACCACACCTCTCACCCCCCCCCCAAAAAAAAGAAAAGGAAACAGGCTTGCAAGTTTAAAAGAATTGTTCAGTTGGATGATTCTGAAAGGATGCAGCCTTGTTATTAACACTGAAAAGTTTAATTACATTTCATTATACTAGACTAGTTTCTCTTAATTGCTAAAAGGGGACTATGAAAGTGAAAAAAAAAAAACCAAAAATGCTTAATCTCTAGGAGTGGATTTTCCTCCCTGCTTTGTAATGTAAATGTGCCTGTGTGTATATTAAAATTCATACACTCCATCCATCTCGCCCGGCTTTTAACGGAGGGGTCACCTGACTTCACCTAGAGCCGCCCCCCTCCCTTTCCCAGAGGAAACCCAAAAGTGAGAGACAGGCGTGTGTGTAACACAGGTTCTCCTGCTGAGAGATGTAAATGACCCTGACTGAACGGGAGAGTGAGGTTGCTGGTGGGGGTTGGGGGGAAGGGAAACGGAGGGAGAGAGCGAGCGAGAGAGGGGAGAGGGAGAGACAGAGAGGGAGAGAGAGAGAGAGAGGAGAGAGAGAGGGAGAGAAGTGCTGCATGCTTCATCTTTGAGAGGAGGGAAAACAAAAGACCTCAGCGGCAGTTTTGTGTTGCTGTGTCTGGCTTAAAGAGGAACCTTCTAGACATCCGTGCTGGAGAAATCAAAGCTCAGCTGAGACTACTTCCATCAAGAGCATTGTTTTATCTGAGGATGGGTTGGATCAGTACAGGTGGTTTGAGAAGACGCTGACTGAGGACCATGGAAAGGTGGGCGAGGACGCGCGGCTTCCCTGCTTCCACTGAGCAGAGCTCTAGGTTAGTAAGCTGAAGCGACCCGGTCTGGCTCTACATTTCTCGATGTGCATATTTGTGTGTGTTTTCTATTTATAGCTTCCAAACCCTTCTGCTCCCCAACCCCTGGGTAAGGCAGTGCCATATTCCACCAGATGTGGACCTAAACTTGATTCGACTCTCACTTCATGGACCCAATGCCTCTCCTTTGCCTTGCGGAGCTTTTGTTCAGTGCAGCCAGTGGAGAGCCGTCATGATGCCTCCTTCTGAGTCACAATGTGTGTTTCAGCCCTAGATTGTCAGGTGGCTGTTTGGGGAATAGTTGGCATTTTGCTCCACCAGGCTGCAAATGCATGATGAGGGTATTGTGAGATGTAAACAGCCAATATCTGCTGACTTGGCATTTTTGGGGGTCATGTCAGAAGAATAGGGAGATGACCCTCTTGCTTTGGCTTTATCTTAATTCCCCACATAATTGAGTTCAAATTTAATAAGTTTGAAATGGTACCCCCATCAACAAAGGCACATCCCAGGTATTCTTTCAGTAGTGTGTTTTACCTCCAATTGGATCCAAAGCTTTTTTTTTTTTTTTTTTTTTTTTTAAATCATGGTATAGGACCTGGTTTGGGGAAGGAATACAATGTGTCAATTAATTTAGGTTCAAAGCTGTTTTATGGGAGTGGGTACAGATGTGTGTAAATCAAACACATAATTTCTCTTGTTTCTTGCTGTGCAGATAGAGTGTCTTTTGTTCCAGCGTGTGTATTTTCCTGTGTTTTTTTTTTTTTTACAAAGAAAGCATTGCCTGTGCTTTTTGTGATAGCGGGAGGCTTGTATGCCAATTTGCCATTGTGCCCTGGTCAAGAATCTGCTCTATTCTGAAGTAAACTGCCCAGAGGTATTAGTCAAGAAGCTGCAGGAGGGCGAGGAGTGGGAAGAGGAGCCTTTTTCCTCCCTCCCCCCTTCTTTTTTTCTTTTTTTGACTCAGAAGTGTCTAATTCACATGATTTTAAGAGCAACTGGGGGAAAGCATTTAATTTTGAATAGGATGCAGATCTGTGCCATGCAATTGCCAAAGACTCTATCAAGAAGATGCTCAGAGCTGAGGGAATCAGATTTGTAATGGACTCTTTAAGAAAATGTGCTGTGAGTGTGACTGGCTGTGTCCCTTTGGACCAAATTAAGATGCGCTCTGGCAGTGCACGAGCCGCTGTGAGCTGACATTTTCTTGTGAACCTAGTGAAAAATGGCTCCATATTTCTCCTCCCGTCCTGAGGAGATGGTCTTCAAGTAGTTGAGCCTTTCCCCAGCATTGTGATTTGCTCTGATTGCTGTGTTTCCTGAAAGGGACGGACTGGCTCGTGGTTCCTTTCAGTTTGCCTGCCTTTTTAAATCTCAGCTTGAATGGGGAGTGGGTGGTGACGGTTTTACTTCAAATACAAACTACCCAGAGCAGAGCTAGCAGCAGATATCTTTCTGGCAATCACAGGTTTCCATTTTTAAAAGGGTAGATTAGAATTGTCAGGACATAATGTGAGGCACTTTTTGTTGTTGTTGTTTTTAAGTGAGTTAGTAAACAATTTCTCTAAGAAAAGACCCATACATGTGTGGCACTTTACATTTGGACTTTTGGCATGGGAAGTGACAGGTAAAAACATGGGAATGTTTGCCTATCATTTTGGCTCTGATAATTACAAAGCAGCTATTATCTGTCTTACCGGTTCCCCCCCTTTTTTGAATTGTGATCCATTGTGCAAGGAGAAAGATTTGTTCAACATCAGAATGCAGGGAGGAAATGTACTACTGTCCTGTAGGACACATGGGCTTATTAAGGAATTCCTGTGCTGAGCAGGGAGTGGAAGTGCTCTGGCAGCCACACTGCTCCTTTATTTAGGTTTTGGTGTGTGAAAGCTCCAGCAAGCAGAGGCAGGATGCACTTTAGCAGAGGGCTGTGTGTTTGAGGGACTGGTTAAGAGCATGGGTTGTTGGGGGTATACAAAATCACCCGTTCTCTATTATAGACCATTCTAAGATGATGGAGTGTAGACTGGGTTCAGCAGGAAGGGGCTGGGCTCCTCAAGGCACCATCCAGTAGGGAAGGCAACCTGAGGATGCAAAATAGTGCAGTAGTGTGTAAATTGTACAGAAGGAGTAGTTCTTTAAATTGTATAATTCCCTAATTATAGAAATTTGTAAGAACCTTAAGTGCTTCGTACAAAATGACATGGAGTCATCTTTGTCTAGGACCAGTAAGAGCACCATGAAAACAGCTTTCTAAGTATTTTGAATATTGTGACATTTTCTCTACTGAAGGATATCTCTCTAAGAGGATCTTTCCTTTCTCATATTTATATACATACACACACGTACATATACTTGTACTGAGGATAGGGGGCAGTTTTACCACCAAGCTACACCCCCAACCCTCTTTCTTTCTTTCTTTCTTT